GCACGAGACTCCTTAGAGTCTCTGCCTGGTAGGCGCTGGGCGCAATTGGAATTATGCCAGGCGCGTGAGAGCCTTGGACCCTCGGGTTGAGTCTCGCCGGGCGCGAGTACTCTTACGCTGGGCGCGCTGGCCCCTGGTGCTCTCGGGTTGAGCCGCGCTGGGCGCGACCTCGAGTGCGCTGGGCGCGCAAGGAGATATTGACATATATGCTGTTGGATGTTGAATTGCGCTGAGATTGTTAATCAATGTTGTTGTATGATGAACTAAGTTATATTTGATGTATACGCCATGCTGACTAGGTGATAAAGCTGAGATAATAATGTTTAGCTGTATTAGAGGTATATAGTTGAGCTGGAATCAATGAATTAAAATGTTAAATTATAGTATAGTGGAACTATAGAATGTTGGGCTGAGTCGGGAGAAATAAGTGTGTTGAATTGCTGTGCTGTGCTGTGTTGTGCTGTGCTGTGTTGTGCTGTGCTGAGTTGGGTGAGATTATAGCCGCTAAGTCGGTGCTGATATTAGCCACATATGTGGTGTTGTTATAGCCGCTAAGTCGGTGCTGTTGTTGCCGCTTTGCGGTGCCGTTATAGCCACTTAAGTGGTGCTGTTATTGCTGCCAAGCAGTGCTGATATTGCCGCATTGCGGTGCTGATACTGTTGAGTGGTATAAGCTGTAGCTGTTGTTTATCATATCGCCATATATTTATATGTTGATTTTTAATTACACTAGCTTACCCTTTGTTGTTTCCATGATGTTTGAACTGCAATGATCATACTATGTATGAGAGCAGAGCAGGGATAGGTGGATGTCTAGTGGTGAGTCTTTACTGGACCGGTGGAGCTGATATCTTTTGTGATTATTTTGTTGTTGAGCTACTTGGGATAGTAGCTTTTCATTGTAATTTTTGTACACTTTAACTCTGTTCAGACTGGATCATGTATATGTATATTCTAGACTCTATATGTATACAGTTGTTTTTTTCTGTGCGGTGTTTCTAATGTGTTGTACCGTGTGTAGTGATCAGCCGGGTCGTTACAATTTCTCACTCAATTAATAAAAAATTGGAGATTGTCTTTCCATAGTTTACTTGAATTTCGTTTTTCTAATGCTATAATCGATGAAACTGCTTTATTTGATGAATCTCCATTAATATTCATTAATTACACAGTGGATTAATTATAATTTTTTTTAAGCATGGTATAGAGTAGTCACCAGCACAGGGATATATTTTTTTTCTTCTTATTATTATTTTTGGGGTGCTTTTCTGAACCAGTGAATCCCCTCTTTTGTTAATAATATTCTATATGTTATATGAAAGTTATTGGTCATAACACGATCCATTGAGGCCTTTTGAACCGTTTGTAAGGTATGATGATGTGGGTGACGACGACCCTTGAGGACATCAGGATCTAGTTCCGGTGAGTCGTCCGTTAGGACTCCAATTTAATAAGTTTTGGTCCAATTATTTGGACAGAGTGTTCATGCAAAAAATAAAAACATCAAATCCATAATGTTTCTACGATGCAGAAATGGAATATTCGTACATACATGTTACCTTGGGTTAGTTCTAATTTCAAACCCGAGCCAGCTCGCTTCAGATATCCTCACCTTCCGATTTTATATAATCCATATAATTGTCATAAAATATTGCAATGAAGACAACATTTTAACTTAATTATGACATGATTCACGTTTATGGTCAAATCTGCATCTAATTGTAATCATTTTTGTTTTCGAATGACGACAGAGACTTGCAACAATATATGTAAGTATGTAACCCCTACCACTGGAGAAAAGGACATCCATTATATATAGTTTTCGGTCATATCATATACATGATTGAACATAAGACCTAATAAATAAAAATCCATTTTTTATAACACAATAGCAGAAACATTTATGCTTCGCCAACTGAAAGATCACTTCATCATAATGAGCATGATCGAGAACACCTCTCCTTCGCATTCATAGGGTCATTGATATATATATATATATATATATATATATATATAATCATTTATTAGATTGTTATGATTTCGTTATTAAAAATGCGTTTCGATAATTTTAAGAAAAAAGATGTTTATAAATTTCTATGGACTTAAATTGACTTTAATTCATAAGTGACTATTTTTACATACTAAAATAACATTTTAGTCAAAGTTAAGAAGAGTAAAGTTATCTTTTTTAATATCAATGTTTTGATTTTAAATCTAAATCTAGTAACATCATTAAACTCATGGTATTTGAAGTCTTATTTATCTTGACATTTATTGATTTATCACGGTTTTGATTTTAAAAATATATTTTGATAGAGTATTTATAAATTATATTGACTTTAACTCAAGTGAGTAAGATTTTAATTTTTTTTTTTGATAGAATAGAACAAGTATTGGAAGCTGGATTTGCAAGCTTTGTTAGGTACCACCATATATAAAAATAAATTAAAATTGAGGGGATGGATAAATGTGAGTTTGTATCTTCTCTACTTCTTTGTCTCTATTTTTTGTCCATTTCTATAATTTAAAAAAAAAATATCATTAAATGTTAATAAAAAATAATTAATATTTAATATTATTTACATACTCAAAATTAAAAAAATGGAGAGAAATAAAGAGAAATACATGTAACTGTTACTGTTTAATGAGGAAAAGCTACGCTGCAACTGACACAAGTAGCTGATGCGGGTGATGGTGATGGCTGTCTAATGTTTTTGGTTCATTAATTCCTTGCTATGTAAACAAAGAATGACTACCTTAATTCCATATGTTTCTAATTTGTTGCACATTTCTTTCTTTCTCTTAATATAAATACAATATTTTGGTTATCTGTTGAACCATTGTGATCTATCCCACTCTAAAAGTAACTAAACATGATCAATTACATTATAATTAATTGTTTGCTAGTATGATTTCACAGATACTTGACCGAGTAAGTACATCTGGTTTACATGATATATTTTAGGGTCTTACCTCAACTAATAATTAATGTAATTTAAATTTAAATTTGTGACTACATATTATACGCTTGTCTGCTGCTGACCAACAGATTAGTAAGAATTTTTAAATAATCTATTCTTTTTAAGAGTATTTTTTTTACCAAAAAAATATTTTGTATATAAATAGTTTCAAATTATTAAAATTAAGATCAGAATAAATGAATGTTACATGTAATAATAAATCCGAAATAAGAATAAATATATTTTTTTTGTTATGCTATAACTTATTTTAATTTTGCTAATTCTGGAAAAGAAGTTATCAAAAAGGCATCGCTTGAACTATCACAAGTAAAATTAAATAAGAATTTGCTTGAAGTGGATTATCTAGCGACTTGAAACAGAAGAATTAACGTTGAAGATATGGACAAGACAACCTATACATTCCAATGATTTTCCCAAAGCACCATAGAGATGACTTAAAGTTAGGAACCCGATTTTCTACTAAATCACACAAAACTTGCAATTAGCATTAAAGTTGACAGTGAGTCTATCTATCCATGGGAATAGTTATTCTTTCATTTCGGATAATTTTATTTATAAATAATTATAGAAAATGATTTTTTAAATATAAATTTAGATTAACGTTTTAGACAAGTAAAAATCATATAATTTCTACAAAAAAGTTGATTTTAATTAATTTATATGTACACTAGTTTTAACACATAAAGTTTTTTTTTTTTGTTTTCTTATAATTACTTATGAAATGGACTATAACCACAAATATATATATTTTTTATACATATCGAAACACAGCTCTTGACTTGATATAATAAAATCAATTCATTGTATTTTTTTTAGCAAAAGAAATTCTTACAGGTCCAAATTCATAAATTTAAATTGATGTTTATGTGTTTGGAAAAATGTTCAATGCTGGGAGTAGTAGAAGCCCGTGCAGCTCATGCATCTGTGTTTTGTTCATTGTACTGTATTAATTAATAAAAATGTTCCTACATTTTAATATTGTAATGTTATACGTAATCTAAGTGATAACTACACATTTAAAACAATTTTCATCAACATTCAAATGCTATTATACATTTATATAATAACCACTAAACTATAAACTTAATTTTAGCTAAAAATAATGCAAAATCTATCACTTTCATAAAAGTAATTTAAAAATTGAAATTGCATGCTATTATACTTTTTTATCAATCAAAATTACAATGCTGATATTAGGTTTCAAACATAAAGTTTTGTGATATTACTCTAATCCCACCACTATTAGATCCTGTTTAAGAACTGTTTAAATTTTTTCAAAATAATGTCTGTAACATGCAAAATTACTTTTAAGAGAAACAAGAGTTTTAAATCTTGTGATGTTTGAAATTAATAAAGCCCGTGATCCATAAATTGTTAATTTTCAACATAAACTTGTTTAAAATTAATTAGTTTTATAGTATTGTTTCAAAATTAGTAGTATCCGAATTTAAAAATGATAATATATGCATTCAAATATCATCTAATTATAAACAAACATATATAATAAGTTTATTAAATTTTATAATAATTATCTTAAAAGTGATATCAAAGATAATTTTTGATTAATTAATAAAATAATACTTTTTAAATTTTTTTTATCATATATTTATTAAACTCAAAATTTAAACATACTTAGTTTTATGAATAATAGCTTTTTAACATCCGTAAATTTTATTTTCCAAAAAAAAAAAAAAACATAACACGAGTAAAAAAATCTAACAATTGAAAACAATTTATTTATTTATTCTATGTAAATTCTTTGCAGGAAATAAAAAAGAAAATGGTGTAGGTGTCTATCGTGATGAACCGACACAGACTTTACAGCACAGGTTAGTTAAAACGTCCAAACATTCATTCCCCTTCCATGCTCCTTCCTTCTCCCCTAAAATTAAAAAATTAATAATTCCGCGAACACTAACAGCGAACGAACAGGGACCATTCCGTCATTTACATCCAAGGGCATATCCGTCCTAAATAAAAGCAAAAATTTAAATTACGAAAATGTCATCTCCACCGTCAAAGCATTCGATCGAACGGCCCAGCGCCTTCCCAGGACAAAGCGAGGGATGACCCATCAACACTCCTGACTCTCACTATAAAAGACTCGCTCACTCACTTCCCTTCTCCCAAACTATCTCTCTGTGTCAATCGGCACTACTACATCGCAGGTAAGTAAGTAGCTCTTGTTGTCTCTGTTGAGTTCAGATCTGCAATTAATTAGGGTTAGTGATTAACGAGTGTTTGAATCGCAGGGGAAAATGAGAGAGATCCTTCACGTTCAGGGAGGGCAATGCGGGAACCAGATCGGTTCGAAGTTCTGGGAAGTGGTGTGCGACGAGCACGGCATAGATCCAACGGGGAAGTACATTGGACACTCAGATCTGCAACTGGAGCGCGTGAACGTGTACTACAACGAGGCGTCGTGCGGGAGGTTTGTCCCACGCGCCGTCCTGATGGACCTGGAGCCGGGGACGATGGACAGCGTGAGGACGGGGCCGTACGGGCAGATCTTCCGGCCGGACAACTTCGTGTTCGGGCAGTCGGGGGCGGGGAACAACTGGGCGAAGGGGCACTACACGGAGGGGGCGGAGCTGATCGACTCGGTCCTGGACGTGGTGCGGAAGGAGGCGGAGAACTGCGACTGCCTCCAGGGCTTCCAGGTGTGCCACTCGCTCGGCGGCGGGACCGGTTCCGGAATGGGGACGCTCTTGATTTCCAAGATCAGGGAGGAGTACCCCGATAGGATGATGCTCACTTTCTCCGTTTTCCCCTCGCCTAAGGTCTCCGACACTGTCGTTGAGCCCTATAACGCTACTCTTTCTGTTCATCAGTTGGTGGAGAACGCTGACGAGTGCATGGTGCTTGACAATGAGGCGCTCTACGACATCTGTTTCAGGACTCTCAAGTTGACCACTCCCAGCTGTCAGTTCCCAATCTCATTCTTACTATTATTCATTTCATCTTTTCAATTTACTTTTAGTTTAAATCAATCTCAGATCTATGATCCATTCTGAATTTATGATCAAATTTTCAATGTCCAACTAATTGTATCATTTTACTCTAATTATAAGTAACAAATTAGACTAATATTAGCCTTTCAAGTTAGTCAAGATTAAATTTGTTTTATATCCTTAATTTATTATTAATTCTATTTTTTTATATTTATTTTTAATTAACATTAAATATAACATCATTAATTAAATAAATTAATTAAATTATTTTTATTGGTCTTGATGGGTTGTTCTATTTTGCATATAATTAAAATTTGAGATTGTTTAGTTCAATTCATTGAGTAGTGTGTATTAATCATTGGAAAACTAGTTGAATTTGTTGAGTAGTGTGAAATTTAGCTAGTTGGTTGTGTAGTGTGCGTAAATCATTGTAATCTCTTAAAATGTTCCCACCGTTAAAAAAAAGGGTTTTTATATTGTGTGAATTGTGATTGATTGTTTTGTTGCAGTTGGTGACTTGAACCATTTGATCTCTGCGACCATGAGTGGTGTTACATGCTGTCTTCGTTTCCCGGGTCAACTCAACTCTGACTTGAGGAAATTGGCTGTGAATCTCATCCCTTTCCCACGTCTGCACTTCTTCATGGTTGGGTTTGCGCCTCTGACCTCTCGGGGCTCTCAGCAATACCGTGCATTGACAGTGCCGGAACTGACTCAGCAAATGTGGGACGCAAAGAACATGATGTGCGCTGCAGATCCCAGACACGGGCGTTATCTCACGGCGTCAGCAATGTTCAGGGGGAAGATGAGCACCAAGGAGGTGGATGAGCAGATGATAAACGTGCAGAACAAGAACTCTTCTTATTTTGTTGAGTGGATCCCCAACAATGTCAAGTCCAGCGTGTGTGACATTGCTCCTCGAGGGCTGTCCATGGCGTCCACGTTCATTGGGAACTCGACCTCGATTCAGGAGATGTTCAGGAGGGTGAGCGAGCAGTTCACGGCCATGTTTAGGAGGAAGGCTTTCTTGCATTGGTACACTGGGGAGGGCATGGACGAGATGGAGTTCACGGAGGCAGAGAGCAACATGAATGATCTTGTTTCTGAGTACCAGCAGTACCAGGACGCCACTGCTGAAGATGACGGAGAGTACGAGGATGAGGAGGAAGATGATGTTGAAGGGGATCATATGTGAAGGGGCTCAATGTCAACATGCTTGTCTCTTGCATATGCTATGTCATGCGTAAGTGTGTTTGCTCCGCTCTGCGATTTGATGATTGTAATTAGTGTATGTACGGTTTGCGGGATGATACTGTGATGAGCCTGGTTATGGTTAATGGTAGTGTGAGTGGAGGTTGGAGGGACATGTGATGCGGCACCTATATGTTTGTTCTTATATTGGCTTGCTTTTACTTTTTGTTCCATCTGGTATACTGGATCATGTTTCCTTAATATTTTGTTATTCTTATGCATGGCTTTTGTCTACATTGGATTCTTGAGATGTCTATTTTTTGGAAAAGCGTTGCCTCGGCTTTTTGGCTCAACATCCTTGCGCTGTCGATTTTATTTGGTAATGTCTAGTTTATTAGATCGAATAAAATTATGCTGAGTCATAATTTTGGTGACAATTCAGCGAACATAGCTGACTCAAATTAGAAAAATTGGAGGATTGACCCCCTTCTCTACTTCTATGCATAACAGAGCAACAGACAGTTCAATTAGTAAAGATTTTGAGTGCAAAATTTTAAAATACAAAAAGAAACTTGGGTGAGAAAGGTTTTGCAATGCGTCTAATATCTGTCCAAATTGCAGGACAATCCGAAATTTGTGGTTCTTATCTTACATGCTTTCAATTTGTTTGATAGAATTACATTTTGCCTTTGTTGTGAAATTCCTCGCAAAGGGTGACATGAGCAAGTTGGCGAGTCTTCAAGTTTTGTAGTAATTTTTGGAGTTTTCTGATGTTGACTAATCACCAGGAAAGTTACAAAGGAGTAAATTTAAGTAGTTTGAGTTTAGTAGAAAGGAAAGAAATAAGTAAAAAATAAAATGGAAAGAAATAGATGAGAGAGAAATAAGTGAGTGAAAATAAATAAGAAATAGAGTAAGAATTTAGTGATTTGATTGAAGAGAAATAGGTGAGAAATAGGATATATACAAAAAAGAGAAGAGAGGAAAAAATATAAGATTCATCACCTTTTAATTTCTCACCTCTTTATTTCTTATCAACCAAACTTCTTAACTTCTTTCCACTATCATATTTTCACTCTCTTTCCTATTTCTTACTTATTTCATCTCAACCAAACCAAGAAAAGAAACATGAAAGACAAATCCAAGAAAAGGAAATTCAGAATAATACCATCCCAGGAGGGAAGAATTACAACTAAAATATGAAAGACAAATAAATGCATAACTGAAATCAAATACAAATCTTAATGTATAATGGATCATACTTTCTGTGTTCTCTGAAGCAAACGCATCTTTACTTAAAGGAGGGATTTGCTTTGCAGATTGGGAAATGGGGAGGCTAACTTTTGGTTTGATCCTTGGTTTAATAAACTTGATCTTGCATGTGAAGTTCCTTTTATGCAAATACATGATGTTCGTATTAAGGTGCAGGATGTTTGGAAGGATGGCACTTGGGATGTCAGTGAGCTTGTTACTCTTCTTTCGGCCGAGGTAATCCATAAGCTTCATCAGTTAGACGTTTGTCTATCCCCAAGGCTCACAATGTTATAGCGTGGAGTGGAAGCCCTTTTGGAATCTACTCGGTTGCTTCTACCTACTAGTGACTTGTTGGCATATATTTTGTTTTTTTAAAAACAACCGTTTTTGCTAGGATAAATGGAAGCAACGTGTTTTCCATTTTCACGTATGAACTCCTGATTTTTCTCCTCTATTAAGTAGTTAACATATTCTGAATGTGGTCCATTATTGATGTTGATTCAACCCATTATCAAATAATTTGCGGATATGGTACCATAATTCTTGCATATTCTCCAACGTTCAAAGAGACTCTGATAGATTAGAGTTCTATAAATTGGACGCAGATCTCTGTTTTGGGTCACTGAGTCTACTTTCCTTTTTAGCACACAACACTATCGTGTATTGAGAACAAGGGTTCGGAAACTAGAAGCAAATAACAATGGCCAGAGGTTAGTTCTTTAATTTCTGTAATTTTTTAAAAATGATCTGAACATGTTTATTTTAATTGTTTGCCATGTTTAGATCTTTATAACCTTATTTTTACATGGCTAACTTCTGAAGTGGGTGGTGCCCAATCATGGTCTTGAAAGTGGAATTGGTAACTGGCATTGGGGGAGAATATTTTGTTCTTCTTATGGTAGTTGTGTAAACATGTCTTGCCCACCCGAGTCTTCATGTATCAGTGACATGTGGGTGGGGGATCTTTGTGCTCGAGATGTGGCCATGAGAATGAGGATGTTTTGCACCTCCTGTTTCGATGTGGTCGTACACCGCTGGTGTGGAGGATGTTGGGCTGGAGAAACATGGAGCTCCTTTAGCCACATGTTAGTTGGAATAGCTGGTTGCATGACTGTTTAAAAAAAAAGGGAGTGTTACCTTTCATTGCTTGCTGGTTCTTATGGAAGGCCTGAAACCTGCTTATAATTTAAAATCAAAATAATGTACCTTGACAAATTGTCCAGTAGGCCTGCTATTTTACAGGCTTACGAGAGTAGCAGATCTTCACGTTAGTGTTTAAAAGAGGTTTGGGCACGTTGTGAGCTTGTAGTTGGTGAACATGTCTCTCTACATGTGAATGGTAGTTACTTGGGACAACTTGACCTGTTGGCTTCAGTGGGTTCATTAGGAATTCGGTTAGTACTTGGATTAAGGGGTTTTATGGTGATATAGGTATTGTAGATAATACAATGGCAGAGTTAGCTGAAATATTATTTGGCTCACCCCTTGTTTGACATCTTGGTTGTATGGATGTTTTGTGTCTCTCTTATGGTTTATTATTAGTGCAACCCCCTATGATCATAGATATTGTTTTAATGCTCTTGTTCATCATATCTAGGAGCTACTTTTATGCATAACAGAGCAACAAACAATTCAATTAGTATTTTAAGTGCAAAATATTAAAATACAAAAAGAAACAACTCTTGAGTGAGAAAAGTTTTACAACGTGTCTAATATCTATCCAAATTGTAATAGTATGACCTTTACAAGTTGGTGAGTCTTTAGGTTTTGTAGTAATTTGTGGAGTTTTCCAATGCTGACTAATCACTATAAGAGCTACAAAGGAGTAAATTGGACTACAAGAAAAGAAACGAAATGAATGGTAAATGCAAGAAAATGAAATTTAGAATCATATCATCCCAAAAGATAAGAATTACAACTAAAACATGAAAGACAAATAAATACATAACTAAAATCAAATACAAATCTCACTTATGAATTTAAAAAGTAACAGTAAGTAAATGAAATAAACAAGAACAAACTATTAATTTAACCCATAAGTATTATTTTTCTTTCCTATTTAATTCATGTTTTAATTTTTAGAGTAATAAAATAATATAGATAATTTTTCAAGTATCAATAGTCCTTGAATCGGTATATTTCACCAATATTCAGGAATCAATTTGATAGATTACTTATAATTTTGATGGATTTCTCGCTACTTGAAAGACTACTTATAATTTCTAATATTTAAAAGAGTTTTTTTGGGACAATAATTAAAAGATTAGCTATATAATTTTCAAGAGAATAATACTTCGAAGCAAACCCTACGGCTAGACATTAAATAATTTATAGTATAAATTAGCAGTCCTCATTATTTTTTTTTAAGTATTTTTAAGCTAATATTTCTCTTAAATAAAATGAGTACTTCATTTTTCGCAATAGTGTTGATCTTAGTTAAGATTAAGAGAAATCTCCTACAATAATATGTTGAGGTTAAATTAATTTTTCAACATTTCAATTTTCAAAATTTTCAAAACCATATTCATTCCTTTTTATTTGGAAATTTCTTTTACTTAATTCTACAAAGTATCTGGATATAATTAAATAACAATAAATAAAATATGGCAAAATAAATGAAGAAAAATGATGAAGTTGTAGGACATATAAACAAAAAAGAATTGTATGTTGATACTACAAAAATTGTAGTATTATCTATTGCAATAATTTGATATTAAGTATCTACTTTAATAATTCTCCAAGTTTTCTAAACTTATGAAAATAGAGAGAAAAGGGGGAAAAAAATTAATCGACCCAAAAAATTCTCCCTTTGGGTCCAAAGTAGTAGAGCTTGACATGTGCAGCACATTGTATAGAATGAATTGGGCCATAGTCTCCAAGATGGACTATTGTCTTTGTCACACTATATTTTTTTAAAATCCTTTTCTAATCATGGGAAGTGAACTATTTATTTTATTGACAACCTCGATAAACTTTTGGGGTAGAGATATATTTCAAAATCAAATTGATATCGGTTAATATAAGTGGTAATAATTTATATTTTTTTAATTAAATTATTTAAAATTAAAATTTTAATTTTAAATATGAAATAAATTATGTTGACAAAGAAATAATCAAATTATTTTTGATAGTTAATATTTCATATATATATATA